AAATTCATTTCAATTAATTCTAATTGATTTGAAAATCACTCAATTGATTCAATTGAATGGGCTTAAGGCACTCCAATGTATACGTGATGACCCGAATTAACCACAAAAGGAAATTGATGTTTAATCGACATTCAACCTCAATCAATCAAATTAACCCCTAGATTGGAATGGGTCAAGTTGAATTGCATCAATTGGACCAAGCTAACTTGATTTTGTAAGTCTTTAATTGGCCAAATTGACTCAAATTTGTGTGAATTTGTCAAAATTGATGTTGGATTTGAGTTGCATATAAGAAAAAAGACTCATTCATGGTTTAATTACCCAATTTATAAAGAATCAACCAGAACCACTAATTATGGCTCAAATTGGGGGGTTTTTACCTTTGGCTTGGAATTTTGAAATTGGCTTGACAATTGAATGTGAAACTATCTCCTAATCAAAGGTAATAAAGAAAACTATCCTGAAAAACAACTTGAAACGATGTAATTATGTTTTTTGGTCGATTTTGAACCAAAATTCACGAATTGGGGAATAGTCAGTTCTTAATCAAATTTTGTAAAATTGAATATGATAAAATAAAATTAAAGTAAAACATAGTTGATCGTGGGGTTTTCAAATTTTTCAATTTTTTTTTGGACAAAGTGTTGACCAAAAAGTCAACGTTTTAGTAATTAGTTACTAAAATGTTAATTGACGGTCAAAATTTGAGTTTTTTGAAAATTAGCAATGGAAAAGTGAAATTGACACTATTTTTGACCTTTTCATGAAAAAAAAATTTTGACTGTGGGTTGACTTTTCGACCAAATTTTGACCAAGAAGTCAACTCAAAAGTGAACATTTTGACTCTTTGAGATTAAAGTGTAAATGATACGTAAATGAAAGGTTAATGCTAATGCAAACACTAAATGACTTTTTTTGGCGAGAAATGGGCCCATTGCAATGAGGAATCCTTATTCTCAAGTTTTTACCTTTACGACGTGTTGGCTAAAAATCAGGTATAATGGCTAATTGCGACACATGTTGCATATTTTAGGTTATTTTCATCTATATATGCTCCTAATTTAGGATTTCATATATTTGATGCATTAGAAATCATGTAGTAATTTTTTGACCAAAAAAACATGTAGTAATTTAGGAAATCATGGATTTAAATTAGTGCATTTGTTTGGTTTTATTCTTTCGTCTTTCCACATCAACAATCAGCTGGAGAAACATGTTTCATGTGAATGACTCTTGCTGTGCTATGTAGCTTTTGTATGCTTCATGTGAAGAGAAATCCTTACTACTAGTATCCTGGTGGGATTGGGACAACAGGCCCACCAACCTCGGTTTTCCGGATCTCTGGTGGTGCGGAGTAACTACGGCTTATACCGAACATTCCACAATGGGTGAGGCCTTTGTGATGACGTCCAAAGAGAGTTGCTAGCGTAGGTCTCCCATCTCGGACTTATTAGCTTATCAAAATGTTAATCTTTTGCAATTGGTTCCCTTCAAAGACAAGTACATCAACATTGTTTTATGCGTATAAGTACAATTCGGGACTTATACGAAATCCATAACATTAGTTGGGGAATACGTGGTGCTAAGTAGTGGAGGCTTAGTGGAAGAGTCGTGCGAAGTTACATAGAAAGTAATGCGAGCTTCAGAAGCAAGAATAATAGAGGAAGTCGTGGTGGTGGTTAAGTTCACCAACCAAATCCCCAACATGTTGCCCCAAATTTTTTTTTTGAATTGATGCTTTACTTTGCTTTGGTTTGGATCGCTACTTACGTGCCTACTACTGCCAATGCTGGCGTCTGTCGTGACGATACAAGCTCTCCTACGCCAAGAATTTTCCCACCCTCGAAGGAGTCGGAATCTCACTCTCCAAAACGCCACTTAAACATAGACTTTCCAATTTTCATTACCCAAAAAAATAAAAACAAAGAAAAATGGAGAAATGCCCAATTTATTCCCCTCAATTAGAAAGTTGACACGTAATTCGAGATATTATTTAGCGTAATTGATAAGAGAAGTTACTAATTAAGTATTTTTCAATGGCATAATGTGGTTAAGTCCAACCTTTTGATCTATACCGGTGACCCTGATCTAGAGCAATGTTTACATAGTTTGTGGGATTGAACAGGTAGGTGACTTCAGGTTTTGAATCGAAAATTTCTCGACACTCAAGTAAATCGTGCCAATCCTAGGGATTCACAAATGTTATCCAAATAAAATTAGCTATAACATCGGCGATCGTGAATTTATGTCACAAGCATATGACTGCATACATTGAAACTGTGACAAGCTTTGTCTTTAGAGACAACACAACATAAAATTAGTGGGATAATTTCTATTTTCTCTAACATCATTGAAGAAAAGGACAAAAAAGAAAAGTCAATCTTGCTGTTGGAAGACAACACGGGACACCAGCCAAAGCATAACTGCATGTTACTTGAAGAGAGAGAGAGAGAGAGAGGGGGGGGGGGGGGGTGTTGGGGGGTGTGGAGGGGAACTCCTTGAAATTGCATGTGTATTGTTGATGGAAGTCAACAAGCCCATTAAAGATTGGGAAGAAAATAGGATGAATCAATACCTATGTTAATGAAGTACCTGTTTTATACATACCCTCAAATCTATTGATCATATAGAAAATATTCAGTTCTTTCTGAAATAATTATCAACATAAAGGAAAAGATACGCCGTAATATATCTGGGTAAAATTATGAAATAATTTCGTAAGTGTGTCATATGTACCATGGTACATTAGAATCGTCAAATACGGCAAAACAAATATGATACATACACAATCTAACGATGTGGATACAGTTTAGTACAACGTAACAAGCTCACTGAATACTTAGTTGGCGTGGTAGTCGCTCGAGAGTGGCCCAGAAGGAGTGCGCGGATGATGATATGTACACTGTTAAAACTGCATTATCACTTATGAGTTCGTGATTCTTTGCTGAAAACTGCAGGATAACTCCCCTAATATAAAATGGATAGTACATGGATGAGCGTTAGACTAATTCCTTCCGGCTCTTTAATCTATCTGAACATGCTCTTGTGATCCACTAGATTTTTGCCCCTTTGCTCTCTAACGGCAAGCATGTGTCCATATGTTAGTTCTTCCCCTCAATTAGTGTCCTTAATCATTGGTTGATCATATAGTATTGTCACCATTATTGGATGTTATATTTGTTTTGGGAAGGCAACTGGGCAGTATCTTTCCGAGCAAAATGTAAAATAAAAAATGACAAAGTGAAAGGTCAACTGCTCATGATTTCACTGGTTAACTAATGGTATCTTTTGTAAGAAAATCAACGATCTATTGCCCGTCTATGGCACTTAAAATACCTAGGCTCGAACCGAAAGCATATACCTTGTTTAGCCGATCATCGTCTTCGAATCGGTCAATACGGATGAAACCGCATGAATCCGACTCAATCTTTCTCTCCTTCTCCTCCCTTGTACGGTGTCTCGATGGATAAACCCATAAGTGTTTCAACATTAGAATAGGAGACAAGACCATAGCCTACTTGCGTTTATGCTAACCGGTCCATCCATCATGAATCAATGTTAAAGTATTAGTCTACACTAGCCGTCCAATCACATTTTATTATCCAAACCAAGATGTGATAAATCCAATATAAGTCTATCACGCGACTATATTTGGCCTATCTAGTATGGTCTCATATGTTTAATTTACTTTACAACAGCCTATTTTTCGCAAACTTAAAATGTTTTGCTCTATCGTGCAACATTAACTGCAAAGCATTTTAAGTGAGTAAGCTCTATTGTGTCTGAAATTTTCACAACGGAGGATCATCATCACTTCACTTTATACTTTAATATATATGCATGAGCTCGAACTTATTAGGCGTGAGATGGAGTAAGAGATGTATTTGCAAATATCTAAATATTTAACTCACGTATAGTTCTTGCAAGAGTAATGTGCCATTCTTTAATAGATGATGTGCTTAGTTACGTCCCTATCAGAAGAAACATTCAGCAGCTCACACTGAGATCTGCAAGAACAGAATGATCAGTTAGCTCCTGAGTTGGTATCAACTTGGTGGGACGAAATGGTGGCAAATCAAGCAAGAATTGAGGAAACGGACAGGAACCATGTACATAATATAAGCAAAGAAGACAACGAAAATGGAGTGATGAGCACACATTCTGGTGTGGTTCCAGGCTTGCAAACCAATCCTCCAGTGAGAATCGTTGGCAAAAAGTAAGGAGTTTGCTTCGAACCCACCGAATAGTCCCATCCCATGCCCAAAAAACCAACGAATAACCCCTTGTCTCTCTCTCTCTCTAGTTGACTTGTGATCTTAAAATATCGCTAAAGTACGTCAATTAGTCTTTTTTATAAACCGTAAAACGGTGTCCGGGCCGGTATTCATCCACCTTGACTAGGTCACCTTCCCAAGCCATCATAAAGGCGATACCCCATGTCGACGTCTTGGTGCATTCAAGATTTACTCTTGAAATGCTCCCAACTAACTCTAAACTTAAGACCAAGAAGAGGAGTAAATAGTATCGTCATCTAAACCAAAAAAATAAAATAAAAAGAGTACTATTGGCAGGATGCGATGTGATATAACTGATCAATGCAAAACGACATACATATACACATGATTGGTTACACCACGTCATTACTTCGACCCGATATATTTATCGCATGTATTTCCTTTTCCTGAGCCAACACCTTGCTGTTTGGTCTTAAGTGGTAATATCCCTAGTTTTTTTTTTTTAGAGGTGATATCCCTAGTTAATAAGTATTATTTTTAACTTGTACATTCTTGTACGTCGGCCTTATGTAATGTATGACTTCCAAGGTTGGGAATGCGAGGTTGGCAAGGCAAAAAAAAAAAAAAACAAATATTGCACCGTCGCACTGCTCCAAAGAAAGCGGCTTTTAGACTCAAACTCACATCCCCATCTCGCACCAATCATTGCCATTATATAAATCAAACCCCACACCACCTTCACAAGAACTCTCTCTCTCTCTCTCTCTCTCTCTTCCTTTCTCTCTCTGTGGATCATGACGATGGAAATTCAGGTGTCCAACGAGTTTGATCGTCGCCACACGAACGCCGATGCCACGATCGTCAAGTTCAAGGGCAAGCGCACCAGGCGCCAACGCCCACCATCTCCCCTCGCGTTGACCATGGCTTGCAGCAGCAGCTCCGATTCCGAACCAAGAACGGTCATCGCCCACCACAGGCTCGCCGGTGGCAACGAAGACTCCGATCCCACCACGACTGCTACTACGACGACCGCTTTCGCGGCGTCATGTGATTCCCCCGAGCACACCAAAGAAGAAGAGGAAGACATGGCCAACTGCTTGATCCTCCTGGCTCGAGGCCGAGGCCCGATCGCCCCAAAACCCATGGTTGATTGCAACAACGACAAGGTCGAACTGTCGTGCGTCTTTTCGTGCAAGACGTGCGGCCGGAGCTTCCCATCCTTCCAAGCTCTCGGCGGGCACAGAGCCAGTCACAAGAAGCCCAAGCTCGACAACGACGACAAGAACAAGCAGCCCGTCCACTTCACGATGAAGTACAAAGATATTGGCGACAAACAGGCGAGCTCTGCTGCATGCACGGCCCTTTCCCTGCAAATAATGCCGGGCGCCGCCACGTCGAGTTCCGGGAACAAGTCGAGTAACAAGGTACACGAGTGCTCGATATGCGGGGCCGAGTTCAACTCAGGTCAAGCGTTGGGGGGTCACATGAGGAGGCACAGGCCGGTCATGTCCGGGTCCGGAGCCAACAACACGGAACCCGAGATCAAGAAGGTCAGACAGGGGCAAGGACTGCAGGATTTGGATCTGAATCTGCCGGCGCCGGCCATGGATGATGAAGAAGAGCGGGAGGCGGCCGCCAAGTACGCTTTTGCGTCGAAGGAACAAGTTCTCGTCTTCTCCACGTCTACTCTGGCTTTGGTGGATTGCCATTACTGACAAGCAACCCGTGTTATTCTTTTCTTTCTCTCTTTTGGTTTCTCAATTTGCCTTTTGGCACCAAAACATCTGTTGTGGAATTGACGTGATTCATTTATTTATTCTTTAAAAAAGAAGAATAGCACGTCTTGTAACAATGACGTATACTCTTTACTAGAGAGATACAATACGCTATTGCTAATTTAATTTGCTTGGCAGAGCCCATGGGCCTCGATGGGACGGCCCAAGCCCGACAATAGTTTTATTGGATTAGGCTTGAAAGGCTGAGTCCACTACTTGGACCCATGTAGACCAGGGCCACATGGGCCTAAAAAAAATAAAGTTGGGCCTCAAAGGCATCCACCATAGTGGCCTGAGACCTTTGAGGCTCCAATGGTCAAGTGTGTTAATGACCCCATTAGATAAATCAACCCTCTTTCACGAATTCTCAAATATTTCGACTCTCTAATGAATTTTCACTTTATATACACGATTTTCCTTTTTATTTTCAATCTTGAAATGGATCGCAACTGCTATCCAACCCGCTTCCCAGATGGCGAACCAATATGTAGAAGTTAGCAGGGTCATTTTCGATTTGTTCACCGCCTTAGAGACATAAAAACCTCCCTACGTGCTCACTCCACCCGAGTAACAACAAGAATTCAACGACAATGATAAGACACACCAATCATATGATTAGTCAGGAATGTAGGGGCAACAAGGGGTCGTCACCCCTCCCCGAGGCAATGCGGACACCCTTTTTTTCAGCAAAAACCCTACCCCAGCGCCAATGATCAACAAACCCTTATTGATGTCGCGCAAACTTCGTGCCAACATATGCCCACAATTTGGAAGAGATTCAAAATTGAGGTCATCCTTGATCGTACGGGTGGATAGTCTGCACGATTTGTGGAAATAAGTTAACCAGAAGGTAGGACGGGCCACCGGAGGAGGCACCAAGACAAACATTACACTTAAATGTTCAATCCCAATAAAAGCTGAGCTAGTACAGCGGGCCATATTAGCAGCCCCTTCAAGTATGATGAGGCAAGGAACCAACAAGTTACCTACACTTTATAGTTTATGTTTTCGCCACTGAGTACCATTCGACTTTGCCGAAGATCTAAGGTTCGTGTAGCATGTGCAAGGCGCGCTACAACCACATTTTATGCCCGTTCTATGGTCGGCGAACACAAGGAACTACAAGAGACTTTGCAAAGAGAAAAGAGTGGAATTGATGCGTATCCTGTCCATAGGTAAGTTTTAAATCTCATTGACTTCAAATTTACGGGCAAGTCAAACTAGTTTCCCATTTTGTTGCGTCACAGGCCACTGGATCTGGCCAAATCAAGAGTTGCACCATTGTACTATGTCGTTTAAGATGTTGCCATATCCACATAATTCAAATAATGTATATGCGAATATCGTGAGAGCGGTCAATTACTTTTGCATGTCAAACAAAGTCTTTTCTGTTACCTTAGACAATGCTAGTGTGAACAACCTCGCCATTAGAACCATGTCCGCACAATTCATGCCGGTTTGCAATGATATTTTCTTCCATAAATGATACATGTGCCACGAAATTATTCTCTTTGAGCAAGATGGACCGCATGAGTTTTGCAATTCTGTAAATTGTACACAGAAGTAGGCCAAGTACAATAGCCACAATGCATCGTGGGTACAAGATATGGAATTGATGTGCATACTGTTTTCATCAGTTCTGAAATGTACAAATACGAATTACATGTTTCAGTTATTCTTTACCATATGAATCCAATTCCATTTCACGTTTTGGTGGTTCCAAATCTGAACATTTTTCTTTGTTTCCTTTGTTCTCTGTTGTTGTATGACTGTGTATCATTCAATGTAAATTGGACGGGAACATGAGAAGCTGCCCGTAGAAGTGAAATGAAAACTTGGAAGAATTCCACTTATTCGATGTCCAAGAAGGCATGTGATCAGATGGAGATGTTAATATTATTTTCCACTCGTTATTGTTAGAATTGCCCAATTGCAGCCATTGACATAGTAGTAGCCGAAGTCTTTAGGAACTAGACGGTGTTCAATGATTTAATCAAGCATTATTATTCCTGCTCTTGATTTCGATTGAATTAGCCACCAAAGTGTTGAAAATATTAACGCATAAACGACATTGCAAATCAAGTTACTGCAAAATCACTGGAGAAATAACGAAAAACAATAAAGGACATAAGCGATTTACGTGATTCGGTCCGAGTGTCAGTACTTACATCCATGAGAAGAGTAGGCAATAAATAATCCATTATAATCTAAAAATCAGAGTTACAATCGTTTACACACTTCGAATATTTTCCACACCTAAATTATATCAAAACTTCAAGTGTTTACAATTAAATAACTCAATTCGATGTAAAACTCACAACACAAATCCCCCGTGTTTAGAACTCCTCTGTCCGTGATCAAAGAGAGCATTATTGTGTCTTCCTCTTTCTTTCTTCGTGTTCGTCTTTTGTGGAGTACTATGCGGCCGTGTAAGGGAAAAGAGCCCAAAAACACAAAACCCTTCTTTTTACTTTTCGTTTCCTTCCTCTAATTACCCGTGGGGCCCACTTGCTTTATTTTCTTTTTACGGCAAAAAAAAACCTTCGCTTTTCCTTTCCAAGCAACATAGAAAGTCCAAGTCTTTTTTTTTTTAATTTCTTTCCTCTGACAAAGACTTTTTGCCCTCATAAGTAAAAGGGTACCACAAAAAACTTCGACAAAAAAAAAATATCACAAAAACCCCAAACCGATATATCTGTAATAAATTTACCCTCAAATTAATTTTTTGACCAGTAAAATCCTCAAACTGGTACACATGTGATAATTTTACCCTCTGTTAATTTCCGTTAAATTTTACCGTCATATTTCTGAGTTAGATGACACGTGGCAGTTGACAAGTCTACCAGTTTGGGGTTTTATCCTCCGTTTGTCATATGTGTACCAGTTTGTGATTTTTTGTGGTATTAATTCAATTTAACGAATGGTAAATTTATCACAAATGTACCAGTTTAGGATTTTTAATGGTAAAAAAATTAGCTTTGGGTAAATTTGTCACAGGTGTACCAATTTTTTCCCACGTGGGTCTGAGTTATTGGGAATGACTTTCTTTACTACTAAATCATCCACTTCAAAACATCTCGGTTTCACTTTTCTGTTGAAAGATTTAGCAACTCTTTTCTGATAAGCTTGTCCATGACATATAGCCCTTAATCTTCTCTCATCAATCATGTCGAGTTGTTCACATCTTTGTTGGCTCCATTCAGTTTCTGAGAGTTTCAATTGGGATAATATCCTTAATGAAGGAATTTCTACCTCGACGGGTAATACTGCTTCCATCCCATATACTAAGGAAAATGGAGTTGCCCCAGTTGATGTTCGAATTGAAGTTCGGTATGCCATCAGAGCATATGGCAATCTTTCGTGCCAATCACGATAGTTCTCAGCTGTTTTGGATAATATCTTCTTGATATTCTTGTTTGCTGCTTCCACTACTCCGTTCATTTGTGGGCGGTATGGAGATGAATTCAAGTGTTGAATGTGGAAATGTTCAAGCAGATCATTTACGATTTTGTTATTCAAATTTGAACCATTGTCGGTAATGATTGCTTCTAGAACTCCATACCTAGCGATGATGTCTCGCTTAATGAATTTTGCCACATTCTTGGCGGTGACATTTGTATATGAATTCGCTTCAATCCACTTGGTGAAGTAGTCAATTGCTACCAAGATAAAGCGATATCCATTTGAGGCCTTGGGGTTAATTGGACCAATCATGTCAATTCCCCACATTGAAAATGGCCATGGTTCTGACATTTGATGTAGCTCATTCGGCGGTGCATTGATTCTGTCTCCATAAACTTGACATTGGCGACAACACCTCACATGCTGAATGCAATCTGTTTCCATCGTCATCCAATAATATCCCAATATCATGATTTTGCGGGCTAGGAGATGGCTGTTCATGTGCGGACCACATTCACCTTCATGGATTTCTCTCATAATTTGTTCAGCTTCTTTACTATCAACGCATCTTAACAGGATCGAATCGAATGATTTCTTATGAAGAACCTGTCCGCTGAGAAAGAACTTATTGGCTATCTTTCTGATAAATTTTCTGTCACCTGACTGGCTTCTTTCAGGAAGTTCTCCTGCTTGTAAGTACTTCTTGATATCATGAAACCATGGTTCATTGTCAAATTCTACTTGAACTACCATACAGTGTGCTGGTTGTTCGAGAATATTGATTCTCAGTGGTTTTATATCCATAACATCTTCAGCTTGGAGTAAGGATGATAAGGTTGCAAGAGCATCCGCAAAATGATTCTGAGCTCTTGAAAGATAATCAAATGTTATTTCTTCGAATTCCTCCATCATTCCTTCTAAGTATTTGTGATAAGGAATCAACTTTGCATCACGAGTTTGCCATTCTCCAGTTGTTTGCAATATAATGAGCATAGAATCTCCATATACCTGCAACATTTTTACCCTCATTAAAAGGGCTGATTGTAAGCCGAGAATGCATGATTCATATTAAGCGATGTTATTGGTGCATGGGAATACCAGTTTTGCAGATACTGGATAGTCTTGGCCTTCTGGAGAGATCAGTATTGCCCCGGTTCCTGATCCATATAAGTTGGTTGCACCATCAAAATACATGGTCCATTTTTCATCGACTAATGTCAATATGTGGTCATCAAGTCATTCTTCAGAACTGGCGATATTTTGCGAATTTTCTGCCAGCATGTCTGCTATCGCTCGTCTTTTGACTGACTTTTGGGATGAACTTCTGATGTCGAACTCAGACAACAAGACTTGCCATTTTGCTAATTTCCCAACCAAGGAGGATTTCTCAAAAAGATACTTGATCGGGTCATTCTCGGTCACTAGCAAAATTTGGTGATGAAAGGTGTACTGTCTTCATCTGTGTAACACCCAAATTAATGCAACACATGTCTTCTCAACTGCTGGGTAATTCACTTCTGATGCTGTGAATTTCTTGCTCAAGTAATAAATGGCTTGTTCTTTACCATCATTTGGTCTTCTTTGTACAAGCACCGCTCCTAGCGACTCATGGTGAATCGTCAAATATAAGATCAGCGGGACTCCAGGAATTGGTGGTACCAACACTGGTGGGCATACCGGATATTCTTTGATCTTGTCAAAGGCTTG